TGCATGCTCGCCAGAGATAAAACAGTTCAAATATAATGAACTCCACTGAATTGCTGTGCAGATCAGGTCACAGCTTCTGTATAGTTCTTTGAATTGTTATACAAATATTACCATTACATGCAGGACTTCTGGAGGTTTGTCTCCGGGAAAATACCAAGTATCTTTGGATTTGAAAATTCAGGTCTGTTCACTAGCAGATGCCCTTGCCCCATAGAAGCTTGGAGCACAGCCTGGTGGCAGCCCAGAAGGTACAATGGCATCTGGCATGATAACCATCTTTTCTCTCCTCCTTTTTCAGATGTTTTCTCCCAGAAAGCATCCTCATTTTCATTCTGACCATGGCCGGAATAGACCACGCCTCAACAGAAATTATTTGCTTAATGCAGAAATAACAGAGAGAAGGACCTATGGCCTGTTTATTTAGACATTAAGACTAGAAAATAGTTGTGATTTCTCCTGGGTTAAAATACTTGAAAATCTGCTACTCATTTTCCCCAGTATAGTAATTTCTGAGTGATCATCTTACTGGAGGCTTAGCTGAGCTGTGCTTGTGTCTGAGGATCTCAGAATGGTTAGCTGAGGTGAAATAAAAGATAAGTAAAGTCACAATAACCTTCTTCAGCTTTTAAGAAATAAAACCAACAAAACAAGTAAAGAAATTAACCAACCAATGACACCACAGATTACCTTCTATAATGCAGGAATGAAGAGATTTACTAGCTGTATCTCTTCCGTGCAGGAAATTAGTTCCACCTACAGAGGACAAGAGCACCCATATTCTAGCAAGTTGTGCACTTTTCCAGCCCAAAAGAGCAGGTTTATGAATTGTACTTGAAACTATGAGTTTTTTAAATTTTAAAATTTCTAAGAAAAAGCAAGTGCAAAAACAATCAGGTCTGCATTTACTGTTATGTATATTTGTTTTACAGCCATTACTACTTGCAGAAGGGGGTTGAGCACCTCTAAGAGCCCAGGGTTTTTTCTCCTGTCATAGTCAGCCCTCATGATGCTGTTAAAACACACAGGCTGTGGCTGGCAGGTGGTAGTTACGCCGGAACCAAGGCAAGGTTTTGTTCCAGAAAAAGCTGGAAATATTTGCTGTATTCAGTGGTGAGGCAGCGGGGAGGGCAGTGCATGGGGGACGATGCACTCGCGGCAGCCGTGTTGCTAAGCACACAGCCTGCTATGCTGCTAAGCAGGCAGGACCCGGCACAGCCATTAAGTCTGGTAGAGGCTGAGTATTTAATAAGCTGCATGCTACCGTGCATTTACATAGCTTAAGTTGTAGTAAAGCCCTAGCAGGAAAGGGTCAAAAGTGCAGGGCTGGAGGGCTAAAGCCCACGCAGACATCATTGTAACCCATCCTGTCCTCAGCGGAAAAGAACTTAGGGAGGAACCACAAGAAAACAGCCTCGTTCCAAGCAAGGAGAACTTTAAAGGCCAAAAGGCAAGGATTTAAAAAACGTAAATTTCAAAAATAATTGAAGCTATAGCACATGTGACCAGGTCTGGCAAAACTCAACTACACAGAGGTTGCAGGGTATCTACATGCCCCCAGTAAACCAAGTGTAAGGAGTGCAGTGGAAAGAAAAATGAGATTCTCATCCTTTGTGGTTTACACATCTAAAACAAAATGACTCTTTGCTCATCCTGTGTGCTCTTAAGACTCTTTCATGTGAATCATTTGACACTTATTTATTTCACAGTGTGCATATTTAGCCATTTCCCTGGGCATCATCTTTACCGTGAAACTGCCAGAGACCAGAGTCCTGTTCCAGGCAGTGACTCCCTGCAGCAGGCTCTGTGTCCTCTCTCTTCTCTCCCTCATTAGCAAAGGCTGTTTCAATACAGAGCTACTGACTTTGGACAGGAGAGCCCATGTCTAATTTCACTTCCTTTAGCATAATCACAGACTTCAGTGACCGTGCTTTTTGCTTTTCATTTATACTGACGTAACTGAGATTGAAATCTGTCCCACAGCAAATATTTATCAGAGCATATCAAAGGAAAAGCAGACCAGAAGAGAAACAAGCACAACAGCGAGTGCCATTAAACTTTGCCAAGTTAGATTTCAAAGTCAATGAAAACCACCCCAGAGACAAAGAACTAAAATGCAGGACAAAGTAGAGCACTGAAAAAAAACAAGTTTCCAAACGCTAGTGTCCTACAGAGCAGGTTTTGATTACTTGTAACTTGCAAAAATTATGAAGCAAAACCTACACAGAACTAACAATATGTGCACAAAGTCAGTGGTCATCACCCTGGTGCTTTTGTTAACATCTTTTCTTTGATATGTAGACCCATCACAGCTATCTGTGGCTGTCAGGGACCCTTTCTACAGAGTACTAAGAAAGCAACAGGACAACATCCACAACTGGCTTTCTAAATGATATAAAATAACAGGATGCCCCACTTTAATTAGATAATTAAAACTGTTTCTGCTTTGCTAGATGCCAAGGACACCCAGTTTCTTGGCAACAAACCTCTAATTTTCTTTCTTTGATATCCAGGTCACAGCCATTTGGATTAGAGGCTCATTTCCAGCAGCAGTGCACAGCAGGGGCACACAGCTTCCTGTCCTACTGTTGGTATCCCCCCTTAGTTCAGCATCTTGCAAGTACATTAATAAAAGCTGTTAAATGTTAAAGCCCTTATAATGGGCGGTTTCTCAATATTCACAAACGTCAGGTGACATGTAAGCATATTAAAAAATTAGGGAGTCCTGTGCAACACCAGCCACATCTTATATCATCTGCAACAAAGTCTCACCCTGTTCTAGCTAAAGAACATGACTGAAAGAGCTAAAGCAGAAGAGGAAAACTCTTCCATCCCCAGCTCTCAAGCTTCTTTGAAAATAAGGTCTACCACATCCCTGACCATTTGCTGCCATTCCCCCCTTATGAGGGAGAGGAACACTGTCCTATAAGAGGTCTACCTGCTATCTCACCTATCTCCTCACCTATCAGGTGAGGAAATCACATACCTTTCCTGAGTGTTGGTCAGCTCCCTGGAAGAGAAGCATGTAGCCCTGAATGCCTGGACTAGTGCTTTGCCTGAGCTGTCATCATCTGAACTGTGGAGCAAACTACAGCCTGAAGATTATCAAATGCCATCAATCCATATGTAAGGCACAGGTAGTCATTCCCAGCCCCACATGAACTGGAAAGGTATAACTGATAGCTGAAGATTTTTAGCTTTTTTATATATTCATAGCTTTGTAGATTTTTATCTATTGCTGTATGGTTTCTAGTACTTTTCTTGCTGTTTCTCACATTTTAGAATAATAAGCTAGCTCCTTCTAACGCATTTTTGAAATCCTGTTTAGTCTTATTCTTAGGAAGAGGATTCCTGACAAAAATATCTGGTTCTCCACCAGAACTTAAGAGACATAACAAACAGGGCAAGGAAGCCCCTGTACCAACTCCAAGGGGCTGACCCAAGGGTCAGTTACTGGGACGACTGGTCTCCTATTGGATGTACCTGCTATATATACTAATTAATTAACCATATAAAAAATTGTAGCAATCCTTTATCACGTGTGCAGGTAGCCATTTCTGTGCACCTGAAAGCTTTCATTAAAAATCTGCTTTTTATCAGTTCCAAGTTTTTGTCTTTTGATTTTAGGCAACATAACAGCCCATGCATATTTTTGAAAATCAGTTTTTATAGGAAAGGCATATAGAGCATGGCACCAAGGGGTGTGTTAGGCAGAAGAAATTGTACAGAGCAGATGGTAGCCACAGTGCTTAACGCACTGTTGGGAAGTGCCCAGCAACTCTAGCTATGAGTGACAGAAGAACCCACAGAGGATAATGACTTTGTCAAGTGCCAGCAATTTATTACAGCGTGTTACTGAGAACAGCTGAGGTGAATTAGTAGCCATTTACTATTCCTTCTGACATCCCTGAGATCCTGTGGGTAGTGCTGCTGAGGTTGCTGGTGCCTTTTGGGTCGATGTGAACTTGTTCAAAGCTAACCCAAAGCCAACTGGCGGGGTTAGCATAGCACCAAATCCTTGCCAATCAACCACCCAGCAGGTGTATCAGCTTATGCTTGCTGCTACACTAACCATCACTTGGGTTTTGGTCAGCTTGGAGCCTGACCAGAACAAAAAATATTAACGCACAAACAGCTTTACAAAGAAGGTACACCAGGTTACAGCAGTACTGTAAACACGTCTCCCTCCAGCTACTTCAAGGAAAGGAGAGGTTATAAGAAGTGTGACTTCCATGCACTCTTTCATCTGACAAAGCCAGCATCTATAACAAGATGTCTGTATTTTTCTGTGCAGTCTACATCCATGCCTGTGCATCACCATTTAGCACTACAAAACATACTTCAAGTTGGATTATTTTTCATTTTTAAAAAACCCTATTGAGCAATTTCATGAAAATAATGCTGCAAAGTGAATTTCAGCTCAACCTCTCAGCTCAAGAGGTTATTCTTCTATTGCCTGTCCTCAGTTTTATCTTCCGTCGTGGAGGTTATTCTTCTATTGCCTGTCCTCAGTTTTATCTTCCGCTAGGGACAGGTGAGATAAGCAAAGCAGATTATTGATGACAAACACTTTGGATGTATTTTGGAAATGAAGCTAGCTTATTTTTATCCCCAGAGAGCAGCCTGGCCCTGTAGGATTGGTATCTCATGCACTGAAGGGGAAACAATTTTTACTCAATAGAAGGCTACTTTTTTCTACCAATGAGCACATCAGAATTACTGCTACTGTTTTATGAATTTCTGATTATCAGGTAGCAGCCATTTTCAACATGATCTTCTGTTGAAAAAAAGTACATAAGTACTCCAGGGTCATGGCTTGCATCCACCATCTTCTCTTGAACCATTGCTGTCCACATCCAACAATCTGCAATGTCCAAGAAACCACTGATCAAAGCATAGAGCAAGTTTAGACAGTCTTGGCAACCCTACTATTCTGTATGTGCAAACTCAGTACTACAGCTTATTGTAGTTGGGACTCAGGTAGGAGTGGTTTCAAACCAAAATTTAAGATATTTGTTATGGTTATTTGGGCTATTTTGTGAAGGGAACATTCCACAGAATGATGGCATGTAAGAGAAAAATCTAGTCACCAGCTGAAATGCATAAAATTATTACAGTTCTTAACACAAAAATATTATATAGTTGACAGTCAGAAAATAAAAAAGGAATTTTTCTCTCTCTTTTAAAAGTACAAAATCTTAATGAAGAAAATGTATTAGAAGTAACAGAACATCAATTTTTTTAAAAAAAGAAAATCTCTGCAGACAATGTTTCAGACTTCACACAACAAGCTTGTTAACAGGCAGTTTTATTTATTTTAGTACAACTTGCTTTGATCACTTACTTTCAGATAATTATTTTTCCAGTTAATCATCTGTCTCGTGTTTTGACTTAAAAGGTGCCTATCACCTCTGCATTTGAATAGAAAAGATTGCTGTTATTTTTATTGAAAGCATGACCTTCTCTATTTCTACCCCAGATACTAAGTTCATAGCATCTTTCCGGTCCTGTCCGGTTAACTGTCCACATACAGTTTGAAACATCCTAGCCTACTTGGTTGTGATGTCAATGAATGGAATTAGAGCTCCTTAGCATCACCTTTCCCTTCTCTGGAGAAAGTTACTTTCTTTACTTCATTATATCCTGTGACAAGTTACCTCAAGCCTGTGAGAACAATTTTAATCTCAACTCTTCACTGCTCTTTGGTGGTATTTCATTGACCGTTAGCAAGCTGGTACCATGAGATGGCTGCTCAAAAGACCCTGGATTTTCAAAATTCAGCTTTTATTTAATAGGTATTCTTCTCTCAAATCATCCTGGCAGCAGTCTCTGAAAATGGATGTGGAAAGGAGTTCCTCTAATACTGAAACTCAGGCTCCCTTTGATTAAGGCATGCTAACCAAGAAACCTACAGACCATTCTCTTTCTTATCTAAAAAAGGAGGATCTGACTTCACAAAGGTATTAAAAGACTTTGTCCACCAAAGAACAATGTCCAGATTTTGTTTTGACTGTAAATGTGGTAATGCCTGTGAACCAAAAGATCTTTCAGAAAGACAAAATCAACTGTCATTGTCCTCCAGCAAAAACTGGAGATCTTCATACTTCTCTGTCAGTCAACTTTCTTCGTTCTCAGAATCCCTCCCTTTCGGATGCAAGAGCTTCCTCAACAGACTTTATATGCTTCTCCCCAGCATAAATGCCATAATGCAGCTTGTCATCCTTTACAGTAGCCCAGGACATTTGCTTGGTGGAGAACCTTGCTGCCCACTCTCCTGCCTTGTTGACAACAATGACACCCCCCAAACCCCCAACTCGTGTCTTCATGTAGTCTAATGCAGTGTCCGCTGCTACCTCTGGTGACATTCCTGAAAAGAAAAACAAAATCACTTCATAGTACTTGTACTGACAGTTTTAAAATTCTCTTCAAATTTCACCCCTCCCCATGGAACCAGTCAAATCTTACTTCTCTTTCAACTAAATTGGCAAGAGATTTCCAGTCTAACAAAGGATGCATTTTTGGAAAGGCTCTGGACAGTTGCGAAGAGCTGCTATGGTGTGGTATTACTCCAAGTATTTATTTACATAGCTTCAGTTTCAGAATTAGTTTGTTTCACAATTAGTTAGTTTGTTTAATACAAACTAACTCACTAACTTTATGTTCAAGATACACAATTTCTTATGCCATCATTTGACTAGAAAAAAACAGTCCATCTGCAAGGTTTTCATCAAAGGTTTATGACAAGCTAGATCTAAAGCATTTACAATTTGAAAAAACACACATCAAAACAATCAAAAATTTCAGTCATCATCTGTTCTAGTTCCACTGGCTGCAACAGAGCTCAAGGCACGTACTACATATTGTCATAATTTATCAAAAGCAGACATCAGCAGGACTCTTCCTGAAGCTTCTGAAACTATCAGGCAAAATGAGGTCTCAATGTACTAGACATCAGACAAAGGACCAGCAATGCAACTTTAGCTTTTCTCTACTTAATTTGTATTAACAGGAGTATTTTCTAAATAAATCAAATTTAATAGGTACATCATACACACAGGGCTGTAGTAGCTGCAAAATATTTGTTCACTACAAGTTTAAATATACATTCAGGAATGCAGTTGGCTTGGCCTAATTACCCTAAGATATAGACCCTCAGTAATGTTACGCAGCTTAGGTTATAGAACAAAACCTGACCTTCATGCCTTCCCTGCAAATTCTGAGTTAAAACCAAATAAAACCAGCAGAGTCAGAATTATTCACAGCACTGGTGACTGACAGGATAAAGCTCCTTACTCTGACGCACGGGTGACACTGTGACTATTCAAGTCAGTGGCACTGTCTTCAAAGGGTTAGTATTGCACTGTTTGATTTTTCACCAAGACAACAGCTGCCACCATAAGATTGAAATTCCAACAGCTGTTAAGACTGGCAAAGCAATTCGCTCCTGAAATGCAGAAGTAAATTTTGCAGCATTCGTCCAAAAGAGGATATTTAGTATGCGAATTACCAAATAGCTGAACAGAATTATGAGGGCTCTGCAGTTTTTCTTACATATGCAACTTCAGCCCACTATTCAAGGACTCAAAAAGCTATAACAACTTAAGGGTTTGTTTTCAGTGCCTTCATGGAAATATGTTGGGAGGAGGGGCCGGGGGGAATCTAATTGCTGACGTGTTTGCCTGGCAGCTGAGTTACACTTCTGGGCAGGATGAATGAAGGTAAAGCAAGCATGGACAGGGTGAACAAGTGCAAACAAACTAGACATGAACACATGCGGGTTAATTTTCTTTTTCTTTTTTTCCAGTAAACTTTTTAATTTGAGCCTCATTTGACTTTCAAATTGATTAACCACAAGCGAGATAACTGCTATCAATGCATAAGTCTTGCAATACAGTTAACTTCAAGCCAGAGAAGAAACTGGTTTATACAGTTTAGACAAGAGCTTAGAAAGCTGTTTACAAATTGAATACTTAGAGATGTAGTTTAGAGAGTAAAGGGAGAGCATAATGTGTTAAGAGCTTTGGGAAATAATCTGTAGGTTGTATTTTATGCTGAAACTGTCATGTCAGCTATGAGATTTAGAGGAATGCACCCATTATATGCAAACAGCCCTATAAAGCACAACAAAAATATTTACAGCTGTTACTTGTCTCTCTACTTACTGCTTCTTCAATGAAAATGTAAATTGAATGTTTTCCAACTATTTCCACTTTGGTCGATCTCAAAGCAAGTTACACTATACTGCCCCAGAGCTATTTATTTCTAAAAATAACGGTAATATCTATATATTAATGATTCTTGAACTGCATGCAGCACAAGTATGTTGTCTGGCTATGTTTACGGGCTGTAACATAATCAAGGGTTTAGATGACAGACTAAGTCATGAAGGTAAAGCTACAAAGGGTCATCCCACAGTCAGATTGTATTACAGTCACATAAGACATACTGTGTCAGCTGTTTACCACATACCCACCAGTATGTTTAGTACATTTTCCAAAACAAAATGCAAATTGAAATCATGGTTAAAAAGTCTCAAAATAACTTCTGTTGCTGTAATCAGAGTTGTTACAATAATGACCTTTACAGTTTATTAGAAAGGCAATACACTATACTTCCTATTTCAGCTCTAGTTATCTGTTTCTAGCCCTCCCTTACTGCTCCCTTAAATGTATCTTATTTTTACTTGTTTTCTTTTTCTTTTTCAATTTTAGTTTATAATTGGGAAAAAATTATTAAAGAGAACTTCTGTTAAACAAAGTAGAGTAATATCTTTCAATGTACACTGATCTAAAGCATGATTCAGGCAGCAGAGATAATTCTGTTTACTTCAGCTATTTTAGCTTTATTAATAATACTTTGTTTTGTTTCTAAAGTTTTTGTTTTAACCCATCCACATACCCCTTAGAGCAACTCTTCTGACAGCTGTTCCAGGATGACAGTATATACACTGAAACCTGTGATTAGGCAATGTTTCCTATCCTCCTTACTTCAGATTACAGCAAGTTTGGAATATACCTTGCTCCATGTGATAGAGAATCAGTCGGGCTAAGACCACTTTCATAATGCTCTCCCCATGTCCTGTGGTTGAAGTGGCACCAGAATGGTTGTCAGCATAACCTCCACTTCCTTTTCAAAGGGAAAAAAAAAATAAGGCAATATTCTGTAATATGATTTAAAAGCCCTGCATTGTTTAAAACAGGTACCAAACATTTCTTCCTTTAGGCCCACTAGCTCCATGCGTTTCTGAGAGCAAAGTGTCAGAAAAGCTCCATTCTCATTTCTGCCACAATATGAAAAGGAAAATATAGGAAAGAGATGAATAACAGTTGGAGCAAGTCAGTTGCCAAGTTGAGAGAGAAGACTAGTGATCTGTTTGTGTACAAGAGGCAGAAGCAGGCCAACACTCCACAGAAATGGGCAAAAATATTTTCCACAACAGCAATGGAGGCTATACTGAAGATCAGCAAGATAGGGTCAGGATGCAGAGTGCCAGGTCATATCAACTGAGAAGATATAAAGGAAGACCTAACAAGGACATTCGTGAGCTGACCAGTTTGAGAGGAACTTACCCTCCACAGCACATAAGAGATTTGAAGAGCATGGGCTCTAGTAAAACTTCACAAAGCACCCCTGAAGAATCTTCGATGTTGTCACCACAAGCAGAGTGTTTCTTCTGTTGAACTCCCCTTCCCCCAATTTTTTTTTTTTCTCCCATCCTTGTTTTGCTGGCACATTCCACACCCTGTTCTCTACCAAGCTTCTGCTTGCTCAATACCCATATTTCTAGCACATCTCCTAAGAAAAATATTTCCCAGGAGCTAGAAAGAAACATACCACAGCATTATAAACAAGGTACTGGGGGAGGGGAAAGAGGCCTTAGAAGAGCAATGGAAGTTTCTTCCCTTCTGTACTTTCTTTATCAGACCCTTTTAATGGACTCTGAGTAAAGTGGAAAAACACTGCCATATTAAGTCAATGCCCCCTTACCAAACCCTCTGATGTTTAAAAGCACAGCTGACATTTCTGTATCAAATCCTGAAGATGCCTAGCAAGACCAAAAGTTGCAAGCAATATGCTCAAAAGCGCCCAGTTTCACTTCTCCTTCACAAACCCATGTCCCAAACTATAGCAACAGTGAACATGATCTACACAGGAGAAGGGTATTTGCAGTCAGAAGGCTGCAGCCAGACACAAAACTGAAAACCAGTCAAAATCCAGAGGATACCAAAATGTCAGCAACTTTGTATGCAAAAGAAAGACAGTTTTATAATAATCGTATACTGCCAACAGCAATGCTATTTGAGTTTGGAACATGTTTTACTAAAAATAATTATTTTCCTAATCCCAGCTGTATGGTAGAACCCTGAAGCAATCAACCAGTAAGTCTGCGGAAAGGATTTCAAGTGTCTCTTTATACTTGGATAAGAAATCTCTTGAAATATTTCCTTTATTCCACACCACATCCAGTAGGCTCTGAGACAGTCTTATCAGAGCTCTCTTAAGAACAGGAATTTACTCAAAGTTGCGAGTTGCTTTATAATTTTTGCTCACTGATACAACAAGTAGTAATTGCAATTATACCTACTTCCTTAAGTATTGCAGAAACAGCATTGCAATATGGAGCAGGCTACAGTTTTTGACTTAGTGGAAAACAGAACCATAAAAAAGGACAGCTTTATCAGAATCAACAAACAGAAAGGAAACGCAGGTGTTAGCATTGAAGAAAGGACAGAAAAAACAAACTCCCATCCCCGTTTTCCAATTCTTTCTTGCATATCTCCAAGCTGTAAGGAGCTTTAGCTTTGATAGATTTGAATGATAGACCTCCATTTCAGATGGATTAGTATTTATGTTTTGCTTCACTAATGAAAAGGAGAATTTTGAGTCTTTTTTTTCTCCTTTCTTTAAATGAGACACCCCCAAAAAGTGAAAGGTAAGATCCCACACCCCATACCTATGCATGCTGTGTCACCAACACGGCCAATCATTTTATTAGAGAGTCCTCCTGTGGATGTTGCACAAGCTACATTGCCTTCACTGTCTATAGCAACAGCACCGACTGTTCCAAGGTCTCTGCCAAGAAAAACAGTTCATAAAATTAGACAGAATTAAAGCATACCTGCCAAAGCACGTTGCCTTTATTTCCCAGGTAGCTTTAAAGAAGATTTCTACAACAGAATAACTACTCATCATAAAGCTATTTTTGCCATGCTTCTCATTACAAAAATAACAAGAAACATGCAATAATTCTCACAAGCTTTTTATTTAATAGAGTAGAAAACACTTTTTTTAATATTTCCCCCATGACTTGTTTACTTTCATAGCATGGAAACTTGGGGAGGAAAAAAACCCGCAAAACAAAAGCACACAGGGCAGAAATACTTCTAGTCATTATAGTTCTGGAGTACTTTTTTGGCTGACACACAAACTGACACACAACTTTCCCCTAAATGGCAACTCAAAGATGCAACAATTGGCTCCACTGTTTCAACAGGAGGTTAACCGGAATTATTAATGACAATGCACGTAAATGAGTGAATACAGAAAAGGACAGTAGTGTTATGCATGCACTGAATCATTTCCTTCCTGTTCCTCCTCTTTCCTTTTCCTTATTCCCCTTAATGTTTGAATGCTATAAAAAAAAAAAGAAAAAGCTTATTTATTTTCCTTTCAACTAGTATTGCTCACAATGCATCATTAAGACATACTTTAGTCTTTGTACTCCATAGCTACGTAATCTTGAGGTTTAAATCACTTGGCCAGTAAACTCTGCTGAAATTGCACATTGGTTTAAAAATCTTCAGGCACTGAAGAAAACAGAAGTCCCAACTATATCTTTATTTCTTCAACACAGAAAAGACATATACAATAGCCTGCTCAAAATAGACGAGTAGCTGTGTATGGAAAAAAAAAGTCTGTCGTGACTTACTGTAACAGTTGCTGCACTGAGAAGTGAGACACTACTGAGAAGCAACAGTTTAAATACCCACATATTCCAGTCTTAGCAATTCTCAGTCACATAAGTGACTAGGAGAAGTATACCAAACCCCAAAAATAATCTAAATCCCTCCACACAGGAAAATAATTTGTAACAATCCTTCAAGGAACTACCCAACTGGAAAAGGAATACCTTCCGAATTTGCCTGGACACTGGTGAGGTTTTCTCTATAGCTGTGCAAAATCTAAGCTAATTAAGTCAGACAAAGTCTTTGTGTACCTTGAAACCCACAGTCAGTTTCTCAGAGACCCAACTTCCTGTTCCTTCCTGCTTATGTAAAATATCATACTGTCAGTCCCTACACTTCATTCACAGCAATTCAAAGTTGACTGATGAATCACAGGCCTTATAGGCTGCTCTGACATTTATGTAGAGACGGACCTCATCTCAAACTGGTATGATGGTGCAGATGGGCTTCCCACCCATCCATCTGTTAGAAGTGATTTGCTGAAAAGAACATTAGTAAATTCAGTACTCCCTTGCACATTCATGTAGCACCCTTCAACCAACTAAAGTTAGATCCTCATGAGAAACTAAGAAAGATGTATCCAGAGTTATATTTTCTTAGATAAGTACTTACCTTAAGCAACTGTGAAAGTAAAAGCACACAGATGACACAGTCAATAATTACCTGTTTTGGTATGAGAGCACAACTGGCAATAAATAACAAAGTGAATGTGTCCAACACACCTCACCTGCAGTGGAGCAAATAGGCATCTACACTTGATTTCTTACAGTCCCTTTTTTACTGCTTCAGTGTAACCTTTCTTTTGATCATCTTCAGAACAAAGAAGGTAAATTTTTTTTGCATGGCTAGTTGACTCCAAAACATTAACAAAGACGACAAAACTGCTATCAAATTATAACCATCTCTCTATTTTTAGTTATTGACAGCAGCAAGAACCTCAACAAGTACCTGTGGTATACCAGAGGATGCTATTAGGGATTTTTTCAATCAAGAATGATTCCTATATATTGCATATACTGTGATACAGAACGTATTATTTGGATTTGTTAATTTCCTTTTGTCTAAATTTTTCATTATCCAATACCCATGAAGTGACATGTATTTACACTATCCCTGTTTAACTAAGGAGTTACCTGCTATTCTGTCTCTCAGCCCTGCATCAGTAGTAGGGTTTTCTGTTTATTATTGTTAGGGTCCCTGTTAGTTAATACCTCCTCAAGTTACTCTAGCAGCAGTGTGATTCACAGTGGGGCTAGGAGCCCATTTAGTACCTTACAGCCAGACTCAGCACCCTTTCTGTGGGATTCTCAGGCAAACACCAGTATTTCTTAACAAGGGTATTGCCAGAGTGCAGTGTGCAGATAAATCAAATCATGCCTTGTTTTCAGCAAAAAGTGTGCAAGATGGAATGTTGTGCACACTGTGGAATCCTAAGCTTTCAGTGTAAATCAATGCAAGCCTCTAACCAGCAGAGGAGAAAGGTATCTCTTATGGAGACACCAAACTTTTTTACCTGCAAAGCCTATGAAACCCCAGGGTTTCCAACATTGTGAGGATCAGGGGACTGGAAGTAAAATATACACCAACCTTCAAATTCCCAGTATGATCTGGTATTATGTTGCCTCTGACTAATACTACTTCACCTTCTGTCTGTTCGCCTCAGGCAAGTTTCTGCATAATCACTGTGGACATAACAGGGAAAAAGAACATTCCACGTGTGATACAGAATGAAATGGGTTTGCATTAAAAAAGATCTGTTTTCAACTTTGTGGATTTGTGCTGATGTTTTGGTTTTAAGAAAAAGAACAGCATGGCCCAAGACAAGAAAAAGTCTTCAGTCTTTCAGAAATACACAAGCTTTTTACTGTCAGATATTCCAGAAGTAGTCCATGCTGAAACTGAAGATGCCTAACACTATTTTCAGAAAAAAAAAGAAAAAAAAAAAAGGGAAAAATGAAGGAGTTATGAGGAATGAATGAAGACTTAAATGCCATGCTATTCCAACTGGTATGTTCAAGAGACAGTGGTGGCTACACCATCCTTAAAATTCTTCACTATCAATGATAATACTACACAGTCCTTGGACAGACCACGGATCAAAAGAAAACTTCTGTTGGATACAAAACTAACAATGACCAAGACCTTATGGTCAAGGAACAACATTGCTTTGTTTACAAGACCATATTCATGCTTGTCTCATTACTTTGTTTTTCCTTCCAGCAATTTACTGAAAGTAAGATACAGGTAGTGATTTATAGCCTCATTTCATGGACTTTAATTAACATGCTCACAGAAGAAATTTCCTCCTTCTGATCTACAAATTCAGCTCTGCTCCTGCCATTACTCCTGTTTCACAAAACAGATGAACAGCACATAACACAGCATTTATGTAATGTAATACAGTGTTTTCCTACACCACAACCATGGATGTACAAATGGAAGCTTAAAACAATTTAGTGATTATGCCTACCTCAAAGGCACAGAAATAATTCTTGACACCTGATGTTTTTCATTCCTTTACTGTCCCTCACCTTCCCCTCTACTTTATATGAGACTGGCTTGTTTTCCAAATTATGTTCATTTTGCTGTTGGGTATCCAGCAGCATCTCTCTTCCCACCCACCACTGAACTTGGTCATTTTTTTTTCATTCCTTTTCATAACCAACAGCCACAATCACCACTCAGAAGGAATTACTAGTCAAACTCTGATGTTGTTTAACTATCTAATCCAATTTAAAAACAAATCTAATAATCTACTTAATACTTAACCAAGATCCCCTTTCTTAGGTTTTTGGGGCTTTTTTTATTAACTTGTTTTAGTATGTACACTGATTTTTTAAAACCAGTTCCTCCACAGAAAAAGCTATACAAAATAATACTTGCTGTTTGTTAAAGCTACTCTATGCACTTCTGTAACTGATGATTTTAAGAGCAGTAACAAGTTCTAACTTTGTTCTCCAATAAAGCTACAAAACCTATGCTATTGTCAGTGACCAATAATCTTCTTAAGCAGCAACAAGTTTCATCAAGCTTGTTCCAGTCATTTAAGTTTAAGCAAATTCATTGAAAGCTTGATTTTCTACAGCTTTCAAGAAAGACATACTGTAAAGACTATGTCAAGCCACATAACATTTGGAATACAGGCCTTTGAGGTTTGTGTTTATTTGTTTGGGGTTTTGTTTTTCTTGGTCGCTTTGTCCATTCGGGGGTTTTTGGTTTCTTTTGAGTTTTTTCTAACCAGACAGCCCAAAGGAAATTACCCAAATTTGAAAATAAAATATATTTTACCTACTTCTGAAACTCTTCAGGGTTGGAATCTGGCTCAAGGTTCTTCTTCCACCTCTCCCGGGATCTCTCAGTTATGAGTTTCTCCCCAGGAATTTCAGGAATACTCATGGCCTGAGCAAACAGGTGTGCCCCATGGTCAGTCAGCAGCATGTGCTTTGTCTGCAGAAAGACAAGAGATTCCTTGACAATTCTTATTTCGTGTTGTACTGAGCTGTTTTATATAATTGCTATATTTAGAAGTATCCACAAAAAGAAAATTACAAATTTTATTTAAAAAATTTTTAAACTTCTGTCCATATCCCCTTCCACTAGAGCAGAAGAAGCTTTCAGTTCTCCAAACCACAAAGTTTAACCATCAATAGAAAAGAATTGTACTTATCTATTTAACACTTACTATAATGGGAGAGGGAAAATTGGTAAATTTGTTCTTTAGCTAATTTGTATGCAACTGTTTTGTACTGTTTCAAATGAATCACCAAATTACTACATAACTAACTGTTTTGTCCAGTTAACTAAGAGATTTAGAAGGCTTTTATTAATAAGAATGCTAAATAAATTCCTGTTTAAAGGCATTACACCTAGTAAAATAACATACAAATGTAAATAGCATAAAACTAAAATGTTCCTTATCATCAGCTGAACAATTTCATTTTAAATAGTTCCTTTAACAAGCTGCTATTCTTATCAACTGAGAGGATCAAATTTAAGAACAGAATACTTTCTAATGGGTTTGACCAAAAAATGTTTATTCTCTTCTAACAATACTTGAAAGTTCTATTTTGATTTCTTTATTTACAAAGCACTCCAAACCAGATTTTAATTCAACAACCTTAGTTAATTCCATGCTTTAAAGTCTGTAGAGCTTGGTTAATTCATATTTTAGAGAAACTTGCCAGATAAATTTGTTTAATTAATCCTTATACTTTAGTAGTAGCTCTGAAATCTGATTTTTTTTTTGTTTTAATGTGTCAAAAAGTAAGCAGCAGTTTCTTGCACAATTACACACTGTCAATTGCTCATCAGGGCCTGGGAAGGTTTTAGAGAAGTGGTGGTCTGACTATACAGCACAGAACAATTTCAGAGCAGAACTTACAACTAACTCACAGCAGCCTTTCTGTCCCTGCAGCAGCACAGCACACCAGACCAGCTGAGGTCCAAACAGAACCATGATGCTGGAGGCAGCAGGCCTGCAGCGCCTTGCGAAGCACCCACATGGCACAGTGCCAGCTCTCGGCCAGCAGTAAGGACAGCAGAGGTTGGGTATTTCTGTCCCATGCTACACTCTAGAGGACATTTAGAGTCTCAAAGCTTCAGGTTAAGATGTTGCAGACCATCACCTGCTGTTGATTTCTAAAACAATGACAAGTAATCACTATCATGACCATGCATAGCACTGCATTGTTTTAAAGGATTCCAGACTAACCTCTTCCCAAGGCAGAGACACTGATCTCTACTTAAGCTTATTACAACGTCTTCATTAAGCCCTTTGGACAGGGACACAGGACTACACTTTAGAAACATCCCTGATGCTGCAGCCACGACATCAAACATTTTTGAAAATTTAAATGCCTTTTTAATTAATCTTTAATTCAGGAGAGCATTGCTTTAGGGAATACTAAGGGTGACAAGAAGTCCCCTGTATATGTGAAAGTGGACATCAGGCTTTGATGCTGAGCGCTGTTCCCATATCACCAGACAATGTAAGACCAGCCTATTTCTAACAAAATTAATGAGTAGTGCTCTTCGACTTGAAAGCCAACTTCTTTGTGCAACACTGCCCCCCTCTGCCACTACCACTAACCCACGAGAAGCACGCAATACGATGTTCAAAATAGTTTTGGTTTTTATTTGTGGGTGTGGGTTGGGGTTTTTTTGTTGTTTGGTGGGTTTTTGTAGGAAATTTGCCATTTGCTTTAGTCTTGATCTGTGACCAGAAGGCTGTGTCCTACATCCCTTACTTTCATCAGCAACTAAGACGACAGCATCCTTTAAATAAGTTCTAAAAATATAAAGTTTTATTATAAAAATTTAAGTTATTTCTAAAAACTTTTTTACAGTATTCCATCCCATATTCAAATTTGCATAATATATGCACCTTCCTAGGCTACAAAAACAAGAAATACTTGCATATTGATAAATAAACTTCTACAATAGGACTTTGTGTTTGGGTTTTCTTTTTTCCTTCTTTTTCAGTACTCACTGAAAAGAAGATGTCTTAAAGTAATTTTTATCATTCTCTTCAGCAGATGTTGTCAATCAAAAGAACTAGCAGAACACTGCCAAACAACACAAAAGCACATTTTTCTGTCTCATTCTGCTGGTTTCATTAACTTGTTTGCTAATATGAAGTGCCTACTTTTTCTGGAAAACATTTACACAAAGTAATCTAAAAGGACAAGAAAACGGTTCAAGAGAGCTTACAAATACGCCACAAAAGCTGGCACTTTTAGTTAATTTCACTGGAAATGGGGAAAATACCCCAAACTTCTGCCAGGCCTAAAGTTCAAACCATCACAGTTCCTCATTTAAAAATTCTGGCAGCACAGAAAAAAAAAAAAACAACCTGGCCCTTTGCCTCAAGAAAGTCTGTGTTCTAAGCTAATTTCTTTTTTACCTAATGTAGTCCTGCACAATAAGAGTAGGAGAAATGTACACAGCTACATATACTAAAGAATTAGTGCTCTAATGTTCATGAGAAGCCTATACAATGAAGTTTTGGAGCTGAGAAGGGTTACATGCCCCAAATTAAAATAAAAATCAATGTATCATTCTATTTATGTTCAATACAAACAGGAATAATTCAACAGAAATTTAAGTGCTTTTTCAAGAATGTGTCACATTAGTTAATGTACTAAAAGTCTTCCACCTCTAGAAGCTCCAGTGAACAACAGTACAGTAAATAATGAACGGAAATGAGTCTGCTGCCCTCCTTTTCTCTACTTCATTAATTTGGACAAGTTTGAGCCCAGTGGGAAAGTGACAGCCAAAAAGGACAAATGTGTTGCAAAAACCTAGAGGAGCTATTCTGGCCACCAGATGGAGCCCACACTGTTCCATAATAGGATGGAAATACAACTACAAGCAGACATACAGGGTAGTTTTGATTGGTTTGTTTGTTTTCGGAAGCTGCATGTTTCAACATTCTTTATGGCATTAAGGCACCCAAAAACCACTGGGAATTATGCATACAGACTTAACAACCCAGGAAAACTACCCTTATTACCCCCAAGTCTCACAGTTAAATGCTTTTTAATCAAGCACAGTACAACAAAACACACTATGAAACGTACTGTGAAATACCCTGGGTTGGTGTCCCAAAATTCCTGTCCAAGATGAACAGATGGGCAACAATGAGCAGAAGAGCAACATCAGTTGGTATTCCCATTTATGGGAGATGGAAAAACGAAGAAACTCATCTCAAGATACATCAAGCAATTCAGGCCAACATTTACATTTCAAATTTATCATCATGCACAGATTTTTTTTGCATCTTGGTAAAGAGTAATGCCTGTACCACAAAATGTCATGGTGTTGGGGCTACACCATTATACTTGGTCCTGTACAGTGGAATTTTATGATTTCATTTCAAATTTAGCCTCAACAAGACAGAGGAGAGGGCTTTCTGTTTGTTGGTTTGGGATTTTCTGTTTAATTTTTGAAACAGTCTTTGCAAAGTTGTATTCTCAGAATCCAACAGTGTGATTTTGACTCTATTCTTGTTGACTTAAATAGAATTTTTTTCATGGACAAGACAACAAAGAAAAGAAATCAGCAACTCTGGAATAAGAAATAAACAATAGGCATTAAAATAAGTTCTCTACAGAAGAAAATAAAATACAACATTCACTTTAACATGCTAGAGACATCTCTCCCCCGACCCTTCACCTATATTCTCAAATTTTGTCTTGTGAAGCTCTCTACCACCTATACTTATTTACTGATCTAGTTAATAACAAAAAGAAAATCCGTATGAAGGAAAAAAATCCTTATTCATCACAAGTTTTAACATTGTTTTTTAGTAGACATACATTTCAAGGAAGTATTTTATATTCAATATGTTAGTGAAATGTTCTGATCTTAAAAGCAGAACTTCTATCTTTCAATTAAGGACTCAAAAATTCTATCTGCTCTGGAGGCCATTGAGGACAAGACAAATGTCAATCATCTTTATAGATCACCAAAACAGGCATTGTTCCCTCAAAAGCAACTTTGAAAGGTTAAAGCAACATAGGTCTTCTTTATTAATAAGTGTTTTTATAAATATGAACCCTTTCAACAATGAGGCAGCTGCACTAGTAGGATGAAAATGCAAACTCCAAAGTCAGGACAAACTTTTTGATCATTGTAATAGTGATCAGCCTTGTAATAGTAAAACAGACACAGATATCACACAGATCAGTTGCACCACATCTGAAAAATAAGAGAAGTCTGCTGTGGCAAATATTAGATGGACTTCTTAGTGGAGTAAGATGGGATTGATCTTATGTAGAAGGTCATTGATCTTATATAGAAGGTCAAGTAATATTTTACTGCCATGATAAATTTGATTATCTGTCAGCACCACATAGAGCTAATGTTATCTTCTACTGGCGGAAGATGACAACTGCGCTGGTGCTACCACCTGATCAGGTCACAGTGGAGAAGGCTACCCAGAACAACATAAGAGTGCATTACATAGCCAAATATGTAACTGGGTCATTTAATTCAGTTCCACATCACTGCAAAGTGAACAGTGTATTACCTAACTTTAATCTTGCAAGACCAAGCACAATACTCAGTGACAACATAAAAGCTCTTCAAAAAACAAGTTAAAAACAACAACAAAAAAAACCAACCTCGAATACCAGCAGCAGAACTACAGGAGACCAACATGTACAGGTCAAGTTATGCTTCCTTAGAATGCTATTGTTTATAACTATTTCTCAAAACCCCTTAAGGTAAGTGCTTCATGGTCATGACCATAATTTCCAAACACTCCAATCCATTTCTCCCTTCCTTGCTGCTTTAAAGCACTACACAAACACCATCAGTGAGGTGTATCAATATACTGGATGAAGTTCAAAGGAAAAGAAAATGCTTCATACTCAAGTACATAATCAGCATACCTTTTCCATAACAAGTCGAGCAAGTTTTATTGGGTTTGCTATGCACTTAACTGCAGACACTGCTCCAGAGTCTAAATTTTTTCCATCCATGATAATGGCATCCATTTCTACTTCACCTTTTTCATTTAGAACAGATCCACAACCTAATGACAATTAAAAAAAAAATAGGGGGGCAAGAGAAAAAGAAGAAAGTCATTAAGAGCTAACCACCCAGGTGATTAAATTATAAGCTCTCAGCAAGCAGCCTTTGTCTTTCCTACTTTGCTGACTTACCGAAAGTATCTCCCAAATCCAAAAAACCCAGCAGAAACACTGCTGAGTATAACCATAAAATCCAGCCACTAACAGAAATCTGACAGAGTACAACACCTATTTTAAAACTGAGTTTTGTTTTTTTATAGATGAAAAACACACTTCCAATCCCATCCAAATTATATGCTTGGTATTAAAGTTAGATGAACAAACCATCATGAACAGAATTCTTTACTTCTCAGATAATTTTTAAGTGTACTATTTTGCCTTTGCAGTTCTTCCAAAGGAGGATACAACACCATCCAAAGAAATAGTATAGTGTGTTTGATCCTATCAACAGATGAACATCACACAGCACTCCAAGAAACTGCCAAAATTAATGGAGCAGAGTAAGTGTCCCCTCACTGCTGTAGCAAAAGCTTGAAATAACAAGTTCTTCCATTACCAAATAAAAACAGTATATAAAGTAATTTTATAAAATAAAAGTTAAGTAATAAAACCAGGTAGTTATCGTCTTCTATAATTATCAATGCTATCACTAGCCTAATTGAAAATTAATGACATACAAAATGTAACAATGCAAATAGGATTTTTTTTTAAATAATGCAAATAATTGTACCACAGAGGAATAATAGGCTGTAAGTCATCAAGTGCACAAGCCTTGCTAATACAGATGGTGAAGGCTAAACCTGAAAAGTAAAAAAACAAACCAAAACATGGCAGATGTACACAGTACCTCAGGTTAAAAGACCTGTGCACTATATATAACGAATCCAGTAGGGGTTTTCTCCTTTCTGTTACACCAACATTAAAGCAGTCCAGAAACCACTGTTAACAACTGACATAAAACTTTTATACCAATGTACTTTAGACCTGAATATATGAAATTAAATCCCCTGTGACAAAAGGCAGCTAAATCCTGTAATCCTCCTCTTGTAATCTCAAAAACTGCCCCTGCCACATAAAGACACACCCCCCAAAGTTATTTTTTACCTGTCTCCAGCTAATTAAATTATTCCACAGTTAAGTCCTGCATCATTCACAATATGTTAACTTCTAGACTGGTCTGTAAAGAGCTTACAGGTTAATTGCCTTGTGCCACCCATGTGAACATCATTCTTCCAGCTTTTCCTTACGCTGGTAAGGAATTGTTTTCCAGATAAACCCTGCCATGCTCTTTGAACTTCCTTTGACAGGGTTGGCTTTCTAACCCATGTTCACAAAATTCCCACTAGAACTAGAGTACCCCTTTCTCAAGCATCAGTGACCAGAACCATGTTCCAGGGGAAACTCAACGAGGCCCCTTCATCATCACATTAAGAGTGTCCCATGTCTACTGGACATATCTCATAGGATACACTTTAGGATTTTCTGAAATTTGCTGAGCAGAAAACAGTTGCAGACAGTTTCTGTAATCAAAGGCAGCTTTCTAAACAAGTCTCCTTTTACAGGTGGTAAAGAAAGACCAGTAGGTACCTCCTAAGAACAATTCATCCCACTTGCCACACACTCACAGAAAGGCCTGGGCTGGAAAGACCTTAAAGATCACCTAGTGCCAATCCCCTTCCACAGGCAGGGATGCCACCCACTACATCAGCTTGCTCAGGGCCTGATCCAGCCTGGCCTTGAACACTTGCAGGGGTGGGGCATCCACAACTCCTTCAGCTTTGAGAGTTGTACAGCCAACTTTTCTCATTCCACTAGTCACCATGAAAGTCTGTATACCATGGCAAAGCTAGTTACTGAACTTCAAGTGATTTCAGGTAGCATGAAACCTTCCTTCCGTGGTTACAGGCTGTCTTTTCACCTGCCTTCCAGAGCAATGGGTAGGGACTATCAGCCTCTGAGGCACGGCATCCATTAACAGCAGTGCTGAAAAAATAGTCTTTGGCTTCTTAATAAGCAAAGGGGTGGGAAAACAAGAGACAGAAAAACAGAAGACACAAAATCTAGGAGGAAACAATCAACATGTCTGACATCAGCCTAATCACACCTGGGATACTGAGAGGAGTACTCCAACTCCCTCTGTCTGTAGATAGAAAGATCTGTCCTCTGTCCTGCAAAGGCTGCATAGGAAAGAGTGTGCAAGGATCAATAGAGTGTCACTTCTTACACCTGGAGTACTCATGCCAAGCTGGTTCATACTGCTAGCCAAAGAGCTCACAGAGAAATATAACCACGCCACAAGTAGAACTTGATTACTTTATTAAGCTGCACAAGTCACTAAAATGGTAAGTTTATACACCAGTATAGCTTCTGAGCCCTTGCACCAAGCCTACATCAAGATGACCCTACACAGCATGGCTACACCCTATCAGGCAAAAAAAGGACAAAACTTGATTGTTCTGCCCATTCTTCCCCATCTTTATTGTTGTCTCTTAGCAATGTCTGCTTGCCTAGAAAATATTACAGCAAAACTGATTTTAGCCTTTTATGAAGATAAATATTACACACTGAGTTTTAAACAACCACTCCAATCAGGGTCCTTTTCACATAGCTTTCAGCTCAGTTTTGCCAGATTCTGAGAGCAGCTGTACCTAATGAGCATTAACACAATTAGATATATCTGTAAGTAACAGACTACTTACCACTTAGATCATCATGGTTAAACATGGACAATGGGTGAAGGCTCAAGTCCAGTTAAGTAAAAGCTAAATGACAGCATGTCACCCTGATGCTAACTATATAAAAGTACACACTATACCATCAAGTCCACGTCATGATTTCAGCCTGAATGCTCTAAAAATCAAAATGTTCAACCCAAGTCGATAATAAAACAATGGAAGACTCATATTAAATAAAAGCTGCTCTTGACTGCAAGGTGAGATGGAACAAATGGACCTCTGCAAACTAACAGCTATATTACCTAAAATACCGAGCACCTACATTTCATTCCATGTTCTGTTCTGACATACCATGGTGGGAGTGCAGAAATATTTTTGCTGAAATTCATCAAAATAATAAACTTGAGGTCCTAAGAAGAGGAGAAAGTATTTGGTTACTACCACTAACATTAATCCACATTACTGATTAGGAAATCCAGTTATGAACCCTTACTTAGGAAGATATAGCTTTATGACTCATATACCATTATTACATTGCTTCTCTAGTATTATTTACAAAATAACTAATTGCAAGCACTAATGAATAGAAAACCATCTAAAATCCTCAACACCATTATTTCTGTGGCAATAAGTAAAGGTCAAGCACCCAGGATTAAACAACGCTGCAAGGTATAGCCAAGAGCCTTAGAGAGACACATTTACTTAACATATACTCCATAAGAGTCCATGTCTTAAAACTGGATATACATAACACAGTAACAGAAGATTTACAGAAAAGTAAAACAGCGCTACTCAAATTAAATGGCAGATATATAACACTGGAGAATGGTAAAAGCATAATCTTCCTAAGTGTACTATGAGAAACTACAGTACATGCCATGCTGAGAAACCATCTATTTTGTGACACTAGTATTTACTCCACTGCAATGTACATAAATCAATAATAATGCAATAGTAATAATACGAGCTAGGATTTTCAGAAGCATCAGGGCAAAACACTTGAAATATAATATGATTCTAAGTCCACTTAATTCTTAGAAAAATTACCTGCATTAAAATGAGGATCATCTTCCATTGACCGTACTGCCTCCTCAACTGCATCCACAGCACTGCCTCCCTGCTTCAAGAGAGCGTAACCTCGCAGCGCAGCTCTGACAACGCCAGCACGACATCCCTCTTCTCGTTCTTTGAAGATCCGGCCAGCTCCACCGTGCACCACAATGACAGGCTTCATCCTGCCAAGTTGCTCCCCAGGCTTTCAGCTGTGCGCACAGGTCAGCTGATGGGAAGGGGTAGTCTTTCGCATGGGCTTCTTTCTACAAGGAGAGTGGCTGCAGATTAAGTAACACATAGGGATAGTTTGCTACAATTTTACCTTCTGGGAAGCCAAATACTCACAAAGAGGAGCTCCTAATTCAGTCTGGATGAGGCCCCATGCAACTTGGTGCAACTCCGAGGCCAGCCGTGCTTTGAGGATGGCTCTGGGTCAAGTGGCACAGGAAGGGCCCCTTTCAGGCTAAGTTACTCTACAATCTGGTGGTTTAGTATGAACCCTGTCTGGTAATAATAAATTACATGGGAATAAGCATTTGAGTAACCCTTGAACCTGCCAACTGCTCTTTGTTTTAGATGGGTAGCCTGTTGTCAGAGTACAGTAATATCATCAGCAATAAAGAAAGGCAATTGACCTGACCCGACCCGAGTTAAAGGCTTACTCAGCTCAACCACCTGGATACCAGACCTCTGACCTCTCGCTATACTTTGAACTTCGAGCAGGAAAACAAGGTGTTCATTCACACCTGGCAGCCAGCACTGCTCATGGCCTCCTGCGAGCAAAAGCCATTGTTGCTAGTTGCTACACATCTTTGGTGATGCAAATCACAGGTTTTGCTTCCAGAAAAAGGCAAAGAAGCAGCAGCTAACTCATCTCCCACTGAAATCTGGGGCATCTCCCAAAGAAAACTCCCCTCGTGGAAAGTTTCTCGGGGACGGCTATTTTTGGAGGATCTGAAGAACAGAATCCAACAGCCTTTCCTCTCATCGTACAAGCAACCCCTTCCGACAGCCTCCCGCACTCCTCCGGTCCCTCGCACCCCTGCTGCCCCAAAGGAGGCCGGCCAGGATGGCAGTAGGCGGGGAGCAGAGGAAATCCCAGCCGGGGCCGCTGTGGGGCACATCTTCCTGTAAGGGAGGCCGCTTCAGGTTTTTATTCCAGCCAGCAGTTACGCTCTTCCCTTACTCAGCACAGGCTACCCCTGGCCGTAGACCCAGCCCTGCCGAGGCGGCACCTCCGCTCACCGCGGGCCCGCGCCGCTCTCCCTCCCGCCCCCGGCGTTCCCGCGGAGTGCGGGGTCCGATCGCACCTGGAGCGCCCCGTCCTCGCAGTGACTCACGGCCGCTCCAGGCGCGCTCCTGTGCCGGTGCCCGCGGCCGCCCTGGGCGCGCTCCCGTGCCGCAGCCCGCGGCAGTGCGGGGCGGGCGCAGGCCCAGGGACCTTTCGCCGGCAGCCGCCCTTAACAGACATGGCGCCCCCGGCTGCGCCGAGGCGTGCCCGCAGCGAACATGGCGGCCGCTCGCAGCCCGCGGTCTCCGCCCCGCACCGGCAGGGGCCGGGCCGCGGCCGCCGGCCCTGAGGTGGGGCGGCCCGGCGCCGGGCTGCCGGCAGCGGGTGCGGCCGCAACGCGCTCATCCCGGTGTGGTTTCCCCCTCAGCCGGCAGTGCTGCCGCTATCGCCCTGTGCACGGCCACAGCCGCGCTGTCACACCAGCTCAACGCCTGCCACCGCCTGATTTCCCCTCGAGTTAAATTAGAAAAATGGCACCTCTCCCCAAAATCGATGCCCAGCAGCATTTCCCGCGGGCCCACCCTTCTCTCTGGCCGGGCCGGATTATTCACGTTCACAAAGCTCCGTCTGTCTGTGGAGTTCTGTGGGGTGAAAGGTGCTGTAAACTGAGAGAGCTTCGGTCTGTGGGGATCATCACCGCAGGCAGTACATTTTATATACATATATATGTATATGTATAGGTGAGGATAAGCTGTATGTGGCCACACTGTTCCCAAACTGACGGCAAAGACAAGAACTGAACTTGATGTTTGTTTTATTTCTAATTATACGCTGCTGGTGGAACAAACAGTAGTTAACTAAAAGTAGAGCTGCTAAAGGTTCTTTCTGAAAACTAAAAAAAGAGTTTATGAAAAAAACCCCGTAATTCTGAGCTCTCTTACCTGTGTAACTGGAAGTATAAACAAAGATTTCTCAACATTTGTACCCACTACATGGCATGCGTCTTGACCATTCCTGCTTTGCTCCCTGCCTCTCTGCTCCCGTGTCTGTTTGAGGTGCTGTAGTCCAGGCTGCAGGGAGACAGGGAATGCCGTGTCCACCCAGGGCATCAAGGGGACATGGCTGTGCAAAAAGGGCAAGGATTTATGGCAGTGCGAAGTCACTCAATTTAAGAACTGTTTTGATCCTGAAAGTTTGTTGAAAACTAATTAATGTGGTTTAATTAAAAGGAAATACTCCTGATGGTTTTTCTTTGTCATTAGTAGGCTTAAGACAGGCATTAAAATTTCTTACATTAATTATTTCAGAGTGCTGCCTGTTTTTGTAGAATATTTATCTCGTTTTCAGGTAGTGTCAAGACAGGAAACAAATACTATTTAGATTAAACAGTTTAGAAGAATAATTTTGGTTGCATGGACAGCTGAACACAAAATTTATAACTTTAGTAACTTTAAGTTGAAATTTTAATATTAGTCTAACATTATGATTCATCAAAACAAGGGTGTCACTTGATAGAACTGGAATAATCTGTTTCTACATCAGCTTTTTACCTTAAGCCCACTTTGGCCACTGCCTTTGTCATTATGGTCAAATAATTTATGTGCTTTTAAAAATGCTGTAAAGCTTATCAGAGCAGACTGGAAAGCATTAGTATTTAGTTTTATGATTATTATTTAGTTTTTTTTTTAAATTAGCACATTGAATTGCACATCAGGAACCTGTCCTAAAGCTATGTAAACTGTTAGAATAAGTTTTAAATAATTGCTCTAGAAATCTATTGATTTTGCTCTTGCTAGTTTTCATGGGAGACATTTGTGTAATATAATTGCCCAAGAAATATTTTTTATAATGTACAGAGTAAATTAGGGGGGTTGCATGTGGAGCCATGTGGAGATTAACTTCCCTGCTTGTAAGCTGAATGTGCTTTGTTTGAAAGAGGTGGGAACACGTTATCATAGGTGAGTAAGGGCTGAAGCAGGGAAGTAAGAGATCCAGGCACATGTGGATAGGGAACATGTGTCTGAAAATACTCTGATGTCATAGGGTCTACTCTGCATTTCCAGTGACTAAAATACAGCTGTACTTGTGCCTTCTATTTTCCTGCAGAATCCATAAATTAAGGAGATGCCCTCCTTCTAGAGAAAGAATTCCCCCAGAATCTCATTGAAATGTTAATTTTAGGAACCAGCAAAGCAAGTGAAATACATTGTAAAAGTAACTGGTTTAATGCATATTTATAATAGAACTATTTTTAAAATAAATGTTTATGTAGAAACTTGTGTGTTTATCCATAAACTATTTAAAAATCTTCAAAATCTGGTGTAGCACAGAAAGCAGTGCTCTATATTTTATTAATTGGATTGGAGGAGCATGCAGAGTTGATCAAGGCTAAGGCTGCTTGAGCAAGTGTCAAGCATGCAGAAACAGAATGCTGTTCACAAAGTCTGCAAACTTGGATCTTTTTATATTATACAGAGCTGTCATATGGAGATCACTGCGGCATTAGGATGCTCAGGTCACACTCTGGAAAAACTCATGCATGTTGAATAACTTTGTTCATATGCACAATTTAAGTCTGTAAACCACTTCTTACCGTATTCTTACTGTGAAGAGTGTGCCACCGTTTAGGGGAGCTGGGAAAAACAGTTCCTCTGAGAGTTTAATTTTTTATGCAAAGTTAAAAGTTATGTTCAGGTAAGATCAGCAGTGAAATTTGCAGTAGTAGAACAGGAAATGGTAGATGAGGTATTCACTAAAATACAGTGGTGATCAATTCTAATTGATTAGTGAGCTCTATGTTGAATAGTTCAGCTGGAAATATTTTCTTGGGAAGAGGCACTAGGCTTACCAGTGTCCATGATGTTTCCTCCCCTTCTGCGCAGAAGTGAAATTAAATTGAAGGTGGTTTTATTTTACCACTTTGGGGAGATTTTAACCGTAGAACGTAGATATCTTCCCCATGGCAGATTGTCCCAAACAAGAAGTTAACAGTGCCTTCCTGCTCCTAGTATTTAAGCATTTTTCACACAGGGGGATGGTTGTACCAGACCACTCTCAGAAACCTGTGTGAGTGGAAGAGGAGAGAGTGACACAGGTTGTGGTACTGGTCATGGGAAATCCCTGTTCACATCCTAGTTTTGAACTGTGCGCATCGTGTGTTTGACCAGTTTTCAAAGCTAAGGTGTAAAAATGGTCTTGGTGGTTCCTGTTTCTCTGTCCTGTGAATTTACTGAGATTTTATCACATCTATCAGCTGGGTGCTCTGCTGAAGGTGCATTTGAGGTGAGTATCCTGAGTAGAAGACAACCAGACTGACACATGGATGACTGGCAGAGACTAAAATTAGAACTTTTTGTGTTCCTATTCTTCCTGTTGTTGCAAGAACCCTGAAACTATGTTGTATTTCTGTCACTGCATGGCTGAAAAAATATTTTCCTCTGTCACCTCTATGCTTTTGAAGTCCCTCCCATAGCCTGTGAAGTCTATAAATCCCAGTCTGCTCCATTCTAATCACTTTAACTTCAAAGAAGCCAGATCAAGTTCAATTTTTTGAGACTATTTTCAATTCTCTGTTTATCCCAAGCTTTACATCCCCTTTGTAAAACTCTTTCAGATGTTCTTGTTTTGGCATAAAACACGAGAGCATGTTGGAAAACTTGTCTGTGTGTCTGTCAGAGGCTTACAACTTCCCAGCAAGTGCAGGGGGCTCCTGGATCGATCCATTCAGAGAAAATGACACTCTCAGGCTAGCAGGGGTTACAATTGCTTTGGTTCAATCCCATGTCCCTTGCCAAAAAACTTTGCAAACTCCATAGCTACCACAACAATTGCAACATTTTAAACGCCAGAATTTAGGAAGGATTTCTCTTATGTAACTCTCAGATTTGTTTTGTCTTATAATGTGGGAAAATGCAGTTTTCTTAGTTCTTACTGATATACAATTAACATGCTAAAGGCTACAATTAAAACAATATTTCAGCTTAGCCCATATTTTAGGCAAAACCATCATTACTTTTTAAGGTGCATTAGAAGATGCTTGTTTAAGTATTGCTTGAGATAAGGACTCAAGCTTCCAAACACTCGAGGAATTTCCAGGAAAATTTATAATATGCCTTAGCTCTAACAAAGTAACAATTCTAAGCATTTTGTCATGCGTGGAGGCTTACTGAGGGTGACAGAAGTATCCACAGTAAAGATTTTAGGTGGATTTTGTCAAGATACAAAACATCTTTGGGAGAAAAGATAGCACAAAACAGTTTGTAATAATTCACAGGGGATTTTCCTGTCACCATGTGGGAACAGAATGAAAATTAATCAAATGACAAATGAACATCTGTTCAAGTTTGTCCTTTCTTTTTGATTTCTTGTCACTCAAATGTATGGACCTTTAGCAACCCTAATTGCAGGATGAAGGAAATAATCACAGAATGCAGGAAATAAAAGAACATCATCATGGCAGATACATATCAAGTGTATGTGCAGTACCTGAGATGCTCTTTGTACTTGAGAGATGAAATAGGAAGAAATTAAACTAAGTTGGGATGCACAGCCATGGAATTACAGAAATGACTTTTGAGTAACTTTTTAAAGGCTTAACCAAGTTGCCAGGCATTGGAGAGAATCACAGGGGTCCTGTGTCAGATGAAAGATTCCCTCTTGTGATTTGATGGGGTTCTAATCATAAAAACCTAGTAAGTGATGCTCCAGGGAGTCACTATCATTACCTGTAGTAATACAGTATACCCTGTGGAGGTATTTACTTCTGCAGAAAGGTGGGCAGGGAAGAATTAAGCTTTGGAAGTTTGCTGGCTCTGCGTTATATTGCAGGTATGCTTATAAGTAGCAGTTACCCAGTTATCAGGAGGATTATGATTACCATGTGTGGCCATTAGAAAGAAAAATAAAGGCATGATAGTTTTGCTTAGTTCAAATGTTTAGTGTGTTATTAGAATTATGTTTGTTTTTAGTGAATTAAAAAGCTGAGATGTGACAGTAGACAAACGATGGAATTTTAAGTGATAAAGTTAGTTTAATGCAAGTGGTTTATGTATCCAATAAAAGTATCTTCTACTACAGTAATTAACATTAAGAAATACTTAGAAAAAGTATGTGCCATGTAGCTAAAACTAGATTCAAAGGCATGCTTAGAAAGATTACTCTCCAAAGTTCTTCCTCAGTTTATTTCTTAAGAAAATTTCAGGTCTTTTCATACATCTTATCTGCTGTCAGACTGGTTTTGAAGAAACATCATGTTTTGGTTTTTTTATGAGGAATTGCATTTCTTTC